ATTCCGATGCCTCGCAGCTGTTGGCTGCCATCACTCGCCGCACGCTCTACGACACGTCATTCTGCACAGCATATGGCCGACAGCTCGAAGAAGAGGAAACCTACCTCTGACACCGGCCCCAATCCAAAACGCGCCCGCTTTCCAATGCGCCCACAACACCACATTTCCGCGACACCAACCAAGACCGCGTACCCGAATGGCGAGATCAATGTCAAGAACTTCCTCAAGTCGCATGAAAATGAGATCAAATCGCTGGAACATGCCATGAAGGCGGCGAAGAAGGGGCTGGCACGACGAGCTTTTCAAGATGTACCTCGAGAATTACGAAGGAGGACGGCGAGTCATAACCCGCAACGCGTGCCCCAAAGACTTAGACGGAGAGCTCGGCAGGAGGCACACGAGGATAACACGCCAATAGGCAGGGGAACAAGTGGCAGTGGGGTTGGGAAGGGCAAGAAGAAGTATCTGAGGAAGGAGGGCAGAGAGAAGAGCAGGCAGACTTGGGAGGAGAGAGCGAAGAAGAGGAAAGCAAATCACAGTGTCCAGAATGCTGGTGAGGTAGACAAGGACCAGGATACAATGATGGTGGATTCCATACAGAAGCCTGCCAGACCAACCGCCCAACCAAAGACGAAGCGCAACTTTCCAGCCCTTGCCACGCCCGCTACCCCACCGTCGCGATTTCGCAGACGTCAACGAGAGAAGACTTGGTTACCGACACACATATGGCACGCAAAGCGGGCACGTATGACAGATCCCAAAGATCCTCTCTGGCGGTTTTCGATACCACTGCAGCCAGTCTGTAAAGCATATCGGCTCACTCATCGAGCTGCAACTGAGCGTGGTGCTGTCGCGTGGGATATGAGCTACATGTCTACGGTCGGTCTTGAAGGTACCTACGATAGTATTATGGGGTTACTAAAAGGTTTACACTTTGGTGTCGAGGGTGGAGAGGATCCATGGCAAGAGAGGGGCAGGGCAAGGAAGTGGAGACAAGGAACGAGGACTTGGGAAGGATGGATATGTGAAAGAGAGGTCAAGCCCCCGAAGAAGATGGCCCAGGTCACTGTCATCTGGTGTGTCCCCGAAGCCGATAGCAACAACCGGAGGGCTTTCATTCGAGTACACCCTGCGGCATTCCTGCAACTATGGCACGAGCTCGTCAGAGTTGCGAAAGTTCAGAAGCCAGCTGTGGTAGTTCGTGACCTTCGTTTCGAGATTGGCTCCATTGAGATTATGGGGCCTGCCTCGGCTGAAAGTCTTTGCTCCGTTCTTTGCCCTGTTCCAATTACTGATGGAGACACAAATTCTCCCCAGTCTTTATGGTCGACGCTTGCTTCTGTCACGGATGCTGCTTCGCTGCCAGCAGGTGCATTGTTGGCATTCGATGTCTCCGACCCTCGCTTTCGCGACCCTCCTGCTACTTCACCAATAGCACACGACCAGCAATATTTGAGCTCTCTGACTATGACGCTTGCGAATTGGCCGGTGGACAGAACGCAGACTTCACAGTCTATCTTCAACAACAATGCTAGGTTAGCTGCAGCGCGAGCCATGCCATCACAAAAATCTGTCAATCGGCGCAAAAGCGCATGTACACTTGGCGAAGACCTTGAGGCCAGATCAACAGACCCAAAGATACCTATGCTCGTGTACGTTTCCCGAACTACCAAATCCTGGACGATACTGCTCCCTTGGAAATATGTTATGCCTGTGTGGCGTGGCATCATGCGTTACCCAGTGTCTACTGGTGGTACTCCAAGATTTGGCGGATTGAAAGAGAGGCGCCAGGTTGGCTTTGAGCGATCAGTCCCTTACTTCCCATATGATCATCCTGGGACCGATGCTGGATGGGCATGGGAGTTGCAACAGCGCGAGGCGAGGAAACACGAATGGACTAAGCGGCCAAAGGGGAAAAGAATCGAATGGTCGACGATTGATCTTGGTAATGGTAGAAAGGGCGAGGTTGGTGATCCCTGGACATGTGAATGGCAACAATTGTCCGCAGGTCTTCCAACAGATGGGGAAACGTCGAAAGACCAAGTTAAGATCTCTCACCCACCTATTCGACAGCTTTCATCTACTCAGGCGGCCAACTTAGTCGCGGGGGCCCCGCTTATCGCCGATGCCTTGCAGACTCCATGCATCTTCACCGTCAAGATATGCATGGTACAACGCGGCTGTCCCAAGGACTGCGCTCGCATCTATCGACTTCCAACAAATAACGCAGAACTACGCAAGAAATGGCTATCGTTGTTGCCGGTGCCGGGTTCGAAGCTTACGACAAAGAAACAGCAAAGCCGCCTCGCTCCAAGCGCGCCTGATCATGTACATCGTAGAGAGCTCGCAAGGTCTCTATTGGAGCCAGCGAAGCTCGGGGACGGACCATCTAAAGCAGGAGAGGATGACTATCCTGCCGTGCCTGACGAAGTGGACCTGATTGGATTTGTGACGACGGGCAATTACAACCTTTCTGAGGGGATGCCGACTGCTGTTGCTAATCTAGCTGTCCATAGAATCACCAGTGCTGTACGTGAAAAAAAGGGGATATCGGCTGAAGACAGCATATGCATTGTGAGGCAAGCTGGCAGCACGATTGGCAGGTTGGCAAGGTGGTCGGTAGTTTGATTCCATGGATAGCCAAGCACAAACGTATCGAGAGCAAATACAAGCATAAGCTGACATGTACAATTCACTGCAAAGTCCCCGCGCTCCACAGCAAACTGGGGGTGATTCGGGAGGTGTGGGGCGTTAGTCAGCCCTGCATAGGTGATGCGTGGCGCTAATCGGCCCCGAACAGCCCTGGTATCGATAATCTCCCGGAATTGCGCTAACGTCTCAGCACATGTGCAGGGCCAACACTTGAACACCCGTTCTTCCACGCCGTGAACGCCATCGTGGAGGGTCAACAGCATGTCTGAGGACCGGCCGGCTGACGACCTAGGCGAGGGCGTCGAGTCTGCCGTTGGCCTGTCAAGAGACGACCTCGCTGAACTGGTAGGGCTGCCCGTGTGACCCTCGACATTGAAACCGCCATTGCTAACCATACGTTGATTTTGTAGACTAAGGATATACTCGACAATCTCCTGAGCAACATTGTCTTCGGCACCGCGCTGTCATGTCACCGATCGGAAAAGCTGCTTCGGATGCAGTCGGCCGCCACGCAGGCCGAGTCCATCGCCCTCGCAAATCTCGAACCGCAACCGCAGAAACAGAACACGAACGGGTCGACGATACCAATAGCCGAGACTTCAGCAGCCAAGTACGAGAATGGGCGGGTGTTCTTGAAAGGCAACCCGCTCAAGACTACCCCCGAAATAATATGTCCACACTGCAAGCTCCCGAGGCTCATGCACCCCATCATGGGCAAGGGGATGCAGAATCCGGATCTGACCAAGGAGTACTGCATGCTCTATCCATGGGTACAGAGGTCAGGCCACGACGTCTACGGCAACCCATTCCCGACAGACATGGCCAAGAGCAAAAAGGAGCGTGAGCTCATCAAACAACAGCAGAAGAATGCCGAGAAGGAGAGCGTGGGCACACCGGGGTCTCAAGACACCGATATGGCTGGTGGCGATACCAAGGAGATCAAATTAAACACCGGTGGAAAACCGGCTTCGTATATACCGTGGCATACATGTCCGAATTGCAAACGCAGTTTGCTCATCACACGATTTGCACAGCATCTGGAGAAGTGCCTGGGGATTAGCGGCAGACAGAGCTCGAGAAATGCAATGGCAAAACTTGCAAGTCAGAACGGTACGGGCTCGGGTCTCGGTAACACGCCGCTGGGAAGCAGAATGGGCACGCCTGCACCAGGCTCGCAAGATGCCACCTCGGTCCCCATGGCAAAGAGCAAGTCAAAGGGCATATCCCCCGTCAAGAGGCTTAATGCCGCCGACGATGCAGATGCAGACGAACTCGGCGATGACACTCCCGAGCGCAAAAAGATCAAGAAGAAGAGCTCATACATCAAGAAGGCGGATCGTGATAAGACCGGCAGTAGCGGAGGAACACTCAAAGTCAAGCTCAAGACGAGCGGGAAGCCAGAGCTAGAGCGACGGCAGAGCGAGATGAGTGAGCGTAGCGACGGGAAGCGAGACAGAGAGGGCGATGACGGCGGTGGCGATGGAGCGCCCCAGAAGAAGAAGATCAAGTTGAGTCTTGGGAAGGGGGAAAACGGAAGGGGAAGGGAGAGCACTGAGCCTACATCAGCGCAGGACTGAAAGTATCAACTTTCAGTTCAGTCCAGTCCTATAGGCAGTCCTATAGGCTGGAAGCGTCTTAGCAGCGGTTAGATAGGGCGTTTCTACGCTTATCTATCGAGTCGACAAATGGGGGTTGTAAGAAGGGCGGCGTGTACAATGTACAACGACACAAAGCTCATTGCATCAAGAGGCGTTTTGGTTGGCATTTCAGGGAAACGGGCGGGCAATACCAACAACAGGGAAAGGGAGCAAGTCGATCGTTATTATCGACTAGAGGCGTTCTTCGTGAACCTTTTTTATCTTGTAGTATTGCCGCATTTTCTTTTTCCCCATGGTTTTCTTTACACTTTGTACATCATCATCCATCACCTTCACCATCAGGCATTGCGGCCGGGCACGATAAAAAGTAGATGCATCTACCAGTAGTTATTAGCTGATTGTTTCCTTGGATTGAAATAATCTAATTCCTTCGTCTGAGCTATACCGTAGTTTTAACATGCTTGAAATGCGCCGCGACTGTGTGGTTCTGATGTTGGTTTATTAGTCCCTATGGGGCGCCGGATGAAGTTTAGCAGACAGTTCACAAACCTCGGCTAGATTCCCTTCCATCCCACCAGTCGGCAAAATTTAGCTCCATCCTCTACACATTGACTTTTTTTCTTTGGCCACATTCGTAGCTTGAAGCTATCTGTACACGTTGGTGCCCTCACCAAACTCATACTCTTACGGCTGTCAGATTTCGGAGAATATAGGTTTTGTAAATTTGTGAAAGCTCAAATCAAAGCAATCGGCTTGGTGGTGTAGTTGGTTATCACGTCAGTCTAACATTCAAACGTTAGGTACACTGAAGGTCCGGAGTTCAAACCTCCGCTAAGTCATTTTTTGTTATATTTACCTCTTATGGGAATATTCATACGGTAGGTTTTTTTGCTCCCCCAAATCAGTTACGTGTGCGAAGCCCCTGTGACACGCGCGGCGGTAGGAGAATGGTAAACTGGCAATGCGGGTTCGTATTTTTGAACCTTTTCGTCTCCTTGCTGGCCTCTCTTTTAACGTCACGATTTTTTTTTAGGCCCTTTGTCTCTACCGTAGCTTCATAACAGTATTATAATATACGGCTCTAAATTACTTATAAATATCTAGAGTCTATGTTTATGTATGACGTTGTGTCCTTGGATTTATGTTGGAACCCCTCTGCAGGTAGATTCAGAGTTAAAAGAGCACGGGGCCTAAGTGTCTTCTCTGCCAGGCAGATAGGACGATGACTTAAGGCACGCAGCTTCTAAAAGATAACTTTTTAGAACCATACTAACATATTGTATCATCGCGGACTCCTGGGGGAAGATGTCGTCAAGAGATCCAGCCTGGAATATCTGAGCTTCTGAGCAAATCAAATCAGCATCTTCGTCATTGCAAGACTCGGCGCCGGGACATACGGATTGCTATTTAACGGGAAGTTATGGAAGAGATGGCAGAGCATCATCGTCAGAACCCGAGGATCACCCCAATTGAAGCACGATTAACACCAGATTATCAATATATAGGCGAAGACACTTGCAACGCGAAATTAATAATGCATACGAGAGAATTAGCCATACAACATAACCTCAATAACTCTACATGTCCCTACAACCGCCTTGACCACTCAACACTGTCCGCCCCGCATGCCAAAATGTACGAAGTCAGAATCCGAACCGGCCTCATCATAACACACTGCAACACACTCCCAGCCAAATTCCTACTCGTCCATATGACCTCGAACCCGTACGCCGTCGTGAACGGCCGATAAACAGCCCCAGCCTTAGGTTCAAAGTCCGGATTCAACCACGCTTGAAGCAACGACGCAAATCGCCACACGCGAACATACCACAGCACGCAAACCGCTCCGTCCAGTGCAACGGCGCGCCAGAAGACGGCAGCGGGTGGTTTTCGGCCGTCGCTCAGACGCGAATCCCGAGAGATGGGAGAGTTGGGGTAGTAGCTGGCGAGCACGTTGGCGTTCGGGGTAATCAAGACGTCTGGGTATGGCATTGACTGTTCGCTGTGGATGGCGAACTCTGTTTCAGAGAGAACGAGAAATGCAAGGCAAAAGTGCGTGACGGCGAGATGGGCGTTTCCCATCGCGGCTGGATCCGCGACCAAGTAGACTTGGATGAGATGGGCTGCGTCTCCAAGCGAGAGTAGCGCTGCAGAGAGCAGGACACAGTAATGAAGCGATCGTTGGCATTGGAGTCTGTGAGCCATGTAGCCAACCGAAGAGGCAAGTCCCATGATGCCAAGACCGGCGTTGAAGCAAGAGTTGAGACGATGTGGTAGCAGGTAACGGCGGATGCTGAAATGAGTATGTATGCGCCGTAGCGCTTTGTGCTCATGCACCGAAGCTCTGACGAGAAGAGCGCTGCTGCAGACATGGGGATGGTCTTTTCCAAGTTGTGGTTGCTGTTTGGAGACAAAACTCCGATCGTGAAAAGGTTGCTTAATTTGCAGTTGACGACCCGACTACCCGACGAGAGATGTTAAGCGGACAAGAGATTACCGTGATAAGGTGATGCTTTCAGTGATTCCAAGGATTGCAAGGAGAGGATGACACAATCTTGACACTGTTCAGCACCAGAGCTGGAAGACCTTTAATTATGGAAGCCGAAGACGTGAACTTCGTTCTTGGATGACCATGAAGTAATTATTACGGCGATGAAGACGGTTTCAAGTCGAGTCGCTTCCCCAACAGGCCTACCTCGTTTGCAATACTGTTGGTGATACAGGCTGCAAATGGATGGTTCGTGTTGAGCGGTGAAGAGATAAGTGGTAGAGGTGAACCGGCTACCGTCTTCGCTCAGCTCGCATTGTCGGTTCGACCCGAATTTCGAGGGGAAACGCGATACTAGTGAAAATGAAGAAGACTTACATATATCTGAGCTCTATATGCCCAACCTTCTTCGTGCTCTTCTACCTACAGGCTTTCATCACTAGGAAGAATAGCTCTCGAGAATCAGCTCACCATCCAGGCCATAGAACATCAAGCTTTCGACCCCCGAGGAGTTGCCGTTGTTACTATAATACGAGTATGTCTCATGTTAGAGTTGGCAGCTACTACATAGCTGTGCGTCTGCGCCTTCTGGATTGCCGGTATAGCGGTCGCCGAACAGCTTACTACAGGTACCTGCTTATAGAATTTGTACTGAACTTCATCCTTATGTCAGTTGTGTCCTAGGATCAAATATATCACGAGCAAGAACCTTAATCTGGTTCTTATCCTCGGCTCTGCAGCGACCTCAACTCGGATATGTCTTTCTGACAAAGTCACTTTACTCGGTATACCCCGAACTTGTTACAGAAACTTGCAATAACATTAGCAGCGCATATTTAAACAATATCAAAAGGTTCACTCGCAGTCTGCTATTAATCGTACTCAAAGATCTATGTTTCTCGCAAGATTAGGTACCTTCTTGAGGCTTCCCCGAGGATGTACCGTCAATAGTGGCAATCCAGGGGTATTGCCGCTGATCACAATCAGGAAACCTTGTAAATGCAAGGATAAGTATCTGATCAAGTAGAGAACAGCACGAACTGAAGAAAACAGTCCGATGAGATGTGGCACCAAAGAAAAGATCAGGGCATGTGATAAGTCTTGGTAGGCTAATTCCGTGTTTCATCGCCGAGTTTTGCATTCCTGATCGGGCCACATGCGACACCTCGTGAACGAACCTGAAGCGCATGAAGAAGAACAACTCGCAAAATAAGTGTGTAGATAATCACTTTTTATTATGAAGGATAACATTCCTTCAACATCTGCCAGGTGATTCTGGGGTAGAAAGGAAAGGAGTTGAGACTAAATTAACCTTCCACGCCATGACTTCGGGCCTAGCCACCCAGCCACCAAGTTCCTATTACAGCCACGCTACTGTCTCAAACTACGCGCCGGGAGATCTAGGCGATACTGGGACCCACAAGCCGCTTTAGCATTGAGTTAAGACTAGGAACTGCAGCGAACATCCCTCACGCTTCTGGGTTCGATACTCTTCATGCACTCTGAGGGAAGGTCATTTGTCTGGCACGGTCGGTGACTGTGCATTCAGGGGACCTTGTACTTGATCAACTCTTCGCATTCCAAACGAGGAAACCCATCGTTAAATATCAGCAGATCCACGTGAAAGAGAAGGAAACTTATCCAACGATTCACGAGACGCGATCCTCGAATTCTGAAGGTGATAGCCGACCAGCCATCCCGCGAAGGCGCAATTAACCTTGTCTTGTCCACGCGTCTCCCAGAGCCGCACTCATCGTCTTCGTCAATTACTTCTCCCAACGAGCGATGCTCACGTTCCGCACCCTCATCTGCCTTCCGACTATCTTCTCGACTCATTTGATTGCCCACGCTCTCGCCCGCCCAAATGGAGTCATTGGCGAAGACAGGGGTGCCGCCAAACCGCAGTATGCAACCTCCCTAACAGGCGGCGAGGGCTGTTCCTTCTCCGATTTGGACGAAATTCGCGACGGTTTCGCAGAAATGACCGCACTCTTCGCCGCTGCCGTGCCCTTCGATTCCACTCTCCAGCCCAGCGTCGAGTTCTTTGGTCCACCTGGTCAAATATCAAACTACACCGACTTGATTAGCGAAAACTTGCAACGAGCGGCGAACTATGCGACAGTGGAGGGCAAAGATGGAGCGGTCAATGCGGATATACATGTTCGGTGCGATGATCCAATGAGTGTGTGCGACTTTGGAAATAAAAGAGAGGGCAGCCATGCAGCATATGTGATAGGGAATGACCCGCACTTAAACTTTTGCAACGACTACTTCAAGATGGATGCGTTGGAGAAGAAAGTTAACAAAAAGGCCGATGATCAGATGGGGAGGGACAGGCTAATGGACTACTACAACCGAGGTACGCTGTTTCGAAAAGAGGCGTCGGCTTGAGGCAAGTATGCTGACTAGGTTATAGCGACCTTGTGGGCAAGAATGGTGATGCACTTCTCCGACATTGGAAAAGCGGTAGTGGAACGAGCAGTCCCTGGTGGACCGAATGCTACAGCAGAGTGGACGTTAAGTGTCTCTCAAGGAGCCATGAACACTTCTGTTCTTGCGGGCGTATTGAACGAGCGACCGGACACCGATGATGGCCCAAAAGATCTTCAGACCTTGAAGTACGCATACGGCGCAACGCGCTCCAAGCTCCTCGCGGTGCTGTCAACGCAGATGCCCTACGATGCTATAAATAATGCGGAGAACTACGCACTGTTTGCACAAGCCCGGTATATCATGGCGAAGAAGAACTTCTACCCGAATGTTCCCATCATGGACTTCCCGAACGAGGCGACAGTGTTGACGAACGAGAATCTTCAGGTAAGGAGTTCGAGTGCCAGGTACATGTGAGACATACACTAACCTGGCTCTTCATTACAGGACGGCGAAAGGATCAAGTACGCATACTTCGATATGTCAGATGTTGTGTAAGTATCCTAGTGATTCTTGAAGAAGTCTCGTCAAGTGCTAATGCAAATACAGAGCTCGTCCTGCAGGCATGGAGTTTAAGGGAAAGCCTCTTCCTTCATCGGCTTCCGTTGTCGCGGGCACGCCTCTTATGCGCCTAGGATTGACAGCCATTGCCATGATGTACTGTTACAGCCTTTCGTCCTTTGGATGATACTATCGCTGATAGACGGGAATACCGCTCTACTACGAATCATTACTGCTGGTGATTCACAATCACCATGAGCGCGGTCGTGGATATCAACACCATCAAAACCCCTCGGTGGCGACCCATAGGGAAAGAGTACCTACTAGGAAAAGCATGGAGACGGCCGTCTCGAAGTGACTTGTTCAGGACTTGAATACTCAGACAGCCCAGCACCATGTCATAAGTCTTGACGAAATGAA